TTTTTTTTAGGTGTGTTTAGATATATTGAATGGTATAGGGTATATTTATAGTTTTATGTCTAGGAATGGGTATTTCACTAATTTCTATTTGCTTTATATATATAGATTAATACTCCCTGTTAATAGCATACCAATCACCCATTTATTTTGATTGGCATTTCCTTTACACATCGCCAATCCCTATAATAAACAAACAAAACATCCCTAAATTACATATCCAATAAATCATGTACCTATAAAAAATATATATATAAATATGTATATAATATAGGTACTTTATTTACAACAACAACAAAAAATCCGTTACTTTGTAATTGAAATTTATGTAAATAAGTACGGGGAGGGAGATTTTTTTGTCAGAAAATAGGTACGTTGTGTAATTGAAATTTCTACACATTTTTCATAATTTAAAAATAGGTACAATCTTTATTTATTTATTTTAAAGGTATGTTATAGGTACACAAAATAGGTATATTTACAAAATATACATAAAAAATAGGTATATTATTCATTTTTTTTAAAAAGGTGAAAAAATAGTTATAAATAATAGGTACATTATTTTATGCTAAAACATGATAGGTATATCAAATGTTTCTTCATAAATTCAATAGGCCCTAAATGTGACTTTTTAAGATACTGAATATTATTTTTTTTAAAGAGAAAAAACTTACTGTTGGCACTAAAACTGAACAGATAGAGATGAGTGCAACTTACAAGTGATGAGGATGATCTAGCAGATCGATTGAGTGATAGATGCAGATCCTTCTGGTCCTTGGATGTAGATCCTGAATAGAAGAGAGTTTGAGGTTCGTGAGGTCTATGGAACCGGTGTGGAACCAGCCTAAGACCCTTCGATGCTCAAGTAAGATTGTTTATAAGAGCTCTTGTTGTTGACCATATAAAAGTATAGAAGTCAAGCTGAAAAGTCTTACTCTTGTACTGTGGTGAAGGGGGTCTATTTATAAGGGGCATTTTGTGTGCTCTTAGTACTCATTTTCGATGTGGGACTCGTGGGAGGGCCCTCTGAGGTCGACACGAGTCTTTAGATATTTTGGGCGGATACTTCGAGGTTGATTCTGTACAATCGGTAATGGATGCCGATTGTAGACGAGCTGGGCCTATAATGGCTGTTCGCAGCTTTGAGACAATGCCATCGGTGCCCGATGCCGATTGTCCGAGGCCTTGGGTACTTGGACGAGTTTAAGTGAGATCCACGTGTCGTTGTACGAGTGGAGGGTCAGATACGGTACAAACACTTACCCTAAAAATTCCTAAATTTAAGCCAATTTAAAACACAATTTTCCACCCAAGGGGTTTGGTCTAGCGAAAATCCTGGCTAGTCCTGCAAGTTGGGCGAATGTAAACTAGATACTCTGTAAGGTCCAACATTCGAAACTCAAGCTGGTGAAGAACACCTCCTGGGGAGAGCTTTATCCGCAAACAAGTCCCAACTCGGAGTGGTCTGCACATTATATATTCATTCGAAAATCATCTCTGCAAAAAATCACATGAATCCGATATCATTTGACCACTCAATTAAATTATTGAAATTTTAGTACTTTCTTGAAGTACCGTGTTCATTAATTTTGTAGGACACAATTAGATGTATAAATGGTTTCTAATTTGTCTAATTTTTTACAAGGATGATCTATGAATACTTAAAAAATAGATGGTTTGAATCATTAAAAAAAAAAAATTGTAGGGTATCTTAAAGGGCGTCCCTCAAATAAAATTATTTGAGAGATCCCTCAATAAAAAGGGATTATATATATACATATAATATTATGTCAATTACTATGCTATAGAAAGTTTTTTTTTAGTACACATCACCTCCAACATGAACTAATAACAAAAAGTACCCAATTCCCTGTCTTTTTATAGCATTTATCTTATTAGTTTTGTGACTTTTCCAGACCAAGATTAGTTGTGGTTTAGTTTTGTGACTCCCTTTTTTTAAACCAAAAATAGCGCAACGACTGTTTTGAATTAAACTTGAAAACATTATAAAAAGACCATGACCGAGGAAAACAATACCTACATGTTGGATGTACCTCTCCGGCGTAAACAACTCCTTAATAAAGAACCATATTCTCACTGTACCAAAAGACAATAAACAACCATATCTACACTACATTATTTAAATATTTATGTATTTTTTAGTTAAGATGTTTATTCTGCAGCTATAGACTTAACTACGTTGGTTGGAACGGATGTACTCCCTACTTTGCACCCGAGTTTGAATCTCTCTTCATAATTTAAATTAATTTAAAGTAAATTATCGATTGTATCAAAAAAAAAAGTTAAGAGTTTCTTCCCTCTCATTAATTATTTCCCCTGATTAATTCTTTCCCATTTTCCCATTTCTCTCTTTCTCCTCCCTCCTCCCTCCTCCCTCCTCGTTCCCTTGTCTCTCTCTCTCTCTCTTTCATCTCCAATATTCGTCCCTCTGCATCTTACAATTTCCCACTAGCCATTGTTAATGAGTGTTTTTTTATCTTTCAAAATGAGTCATATCTTACCAGATAGTTTCTTCTTCTTAATATATATATTTATTACATAATAAGTGTTTTTCAATCAATATTAGTTGTGGGGATGCTGAAGTTGAAACAAAACTTAGCCTAATGCGAAACTCGAATATTTCCTTATGTTCGCAGCCTCTCCATTTGGAACAGCCAAATTCAAGTCATTTGCACTTATCCAATAAAAGAATGCAAAAGAAAGAAAATTGAACTAATTACTTTACCTGAATTAATTAAACGCAACCCTAGATTAGAGAATCCATGAATATAAATAATTGACATAGACACATCACGCAACAACATGTCAACATCCAGTGGTAGGATTTGTTTGTCTCGGTTCAAAAAGAGTATTCTCATATTAGCTGGAAATTATAGAATACTTGGTTCAAAACTTTGTTACTCATTTCAAATTGTTGATAGCCGACCTCTAAAATCTTGCAAATGGATACCTGAAGTCACAACAAGCATACAAATGCGGTCCGCTAGTGAATGTGTCAAATATTATGTTCATAGTAATGTTATTTAGACACATAAAATTGATCATATTAGTCGCTCACCTTATGTGACAGTTGATATGGTCATGAGAAGTCAATGAATGAATATTGTCATGTAAATTTATTTTTCATAACAATAATTCTGAATGCCAAAAAATCAAATTAAAATTAAAATTTGCCCTAGCGTATTCATGGGTCTGTAGCCTCTCATTGGTTATGTACTCTTCCCCTCATGTCTCCAACCCAATGGCTAGGGGTGGGCATCAGGACAGGAAAATCGGAACACCAAATTGGACCAGATGAAAAAAATTGGTTAATTAAAAAAGTCAACAAACCGGCACCAAACCAGATCGGACCAATTCCAACTGATTCCGGTTTTGGTTTCACACCACACCAAACCAGACCAGTAGTGTATAATTTTTTTTTACAAAATTATTTAAATCCAATGCTACATTTTTAATCTCATAATTAATATTTTTCCAAGTCCAACTTCAAAACATGTCTCTTTTTCAGGCTCAATATCTCTCTTTGTATGAAATTGGATCATTTTTTAATTTTCAAGCCCAAAAAATAAAATTTTAGTTGGAATTTGTATATATATATATATATATATTTTTAAATAATATTAATAATCCGATTCAAACCGAACCAACCAGTTTCAAAAAAAATTTCACTAGAACCTGACCGAACTGTACCGGTTCTAATTTGAGGTGAGAACCGAACCGTGCCTACCCCTACCAATGACTGTCTTAAGATTTTGAAGGCCCTAGGCAAACCACCAAAATGTAGGATTTTATCCTCTATGTATATTTACGTGAATTTTTTTTTTCTGATAAGTTAAAAATATATATATGAATTCAAAGTTACAATTGTAATCTAAAAAGAAACAAACAAAATGTAATTCACATAACAACTTTATAAAATGCATTAAACATCACTTAAATATTACTTGTCTTACATTTTTCGATGCAACATAATCAAGTTTTTCTACCATGTCTATTTTCCAATGGATAAAGAACTTGTTAAGAGATCCAACTTGTGATTGAACTCATTTATCTATTCTCTGCTTCTTTTTTATTTTTTCATGTCCAGAAATATACTTTTCTAATAGGAGTCATGATAATAATTTTGCATTAAACCAACAATTGGGTTTTTTAAGTAAATAATTGGGTTTTTTAAAAATAATAATAATACTTGGCCTAATATAATATTTATATAGTAATTTTTTTAAAGCAACATATATATATGTAGATATAGAAGTTTATAAAAATTGGGGGGCGCTCCCAATTTGGAGGCCCTAGACGACCGCCTTGTCTGTCTATGCTCAAGGCCTCCTTGCTCCAACCGCCCTCCCTTCCTCCATAAAAAAGAAGTTGGCCATTCCAGTTGTCTTTGCATTTGTAGTGGGAAAAATGAAAGGACTTGATGACTAGAATTACTAGTTGTCTTTGTGAGGCCACCAAAGTTGGCTTCAAGCCCTCCTCCTACGATTGCGGCTAACTCTATAAAATGGTGTTTGTCAGTTCGCTTTGGCTCGCTTCCCGTTAATTTGTCATTTTATTTACTCTGTGTTCCTTTTTTATAATTTTTTTTTAAAACTTTAATGGAGGATGGGGATAAGTAGATTTAGGACTCATTTGTGACTGTTTTTCTAGGAAGTATTTCTGCTCATAAGCGTTTCTAACAAAAGTGCTTCGTGGAAAAGCACTTGGGAGTGCTTCCTGAAGAATCACATAGCAGATGCTTCTTTTTTCTTTTTTCTTTTTTGTCAAATCGATAATTCCACTTCATTCATCCGTAAAATAAGAGTTTACATCACTTGCCAAAGAGTTATGTAACCAAAGTGGGGGAGAGCCCTCCCACCTACACAGACCTTGGGTTTTAGACGCAAAGGCAACAACTACATGCGCCACATTATTAGTTATTCTAGGAACAAAAGACAAGACCACAGTCTGCAACTGCCGCATCAGAAGTCGAATGTCATGCGCTATACCTTCAACCCGGGAGTCAGAACAACCGCCCCTGTCAACATATCAATCATGAGCTTGGAGTCAAACTCCAGCACCACCCGTTGCCAGCCCTGGTCCAACCCCGCACACAGACCAGCCCGTAATGCCTCAGCTTCAGCAGCTATTGCCGAGCCGCATCGCACGCCACCTTCCCGCCCAACCCCTTTGAAAACACCAGATGCATTACGTATCACCCAACCCCACCCACCACGCAGAGTTTGTGATGTCCATGCCCCTTCACAATTAATTTTAGCGAAAGCCATCGGAGGGCAGGACCATTGCTGAGTGCCCATGCTTGGCTGTACTCCGCCAACTCCATAGCTGGGTGTTGTCTCCGTCCCCTGCTCCTTGGTTTGCAAAAACTCATTGTGCTGTTTGTACATAAACTCCACAGCCTCTGCTGGGTGAACCGTGGTCCCTTCAAATACCAGAGTATTTCGGCACTTCCATAGTCGCCAGAGCCCGTATGCAATTGAGCTCAGCAATCCATCCCGTCCAGAATCCTGTGCAAAACGATCACACAGCCCCAACTAGATGTCCGCAAAAGTCCCCCCCTGCAACGACGGAACATCTAATTGAATGGGGCATGCAAACCAAAACAGCTGTGCATAGTTGCAATGGAACAGAAGATGGGCCACCGTCTCCTCATGTTGCTGACAGGATGGGCACGCCGGATCAACCTGCATACCTCGCCGCTTCAGGTTACTCCACGCAGCTGTATAGTCCTGACAGCATCTCCAGACAAAATGGCGAATCTTGCCCACCACGTTCACTTCCCAGATTGATCCATAGCCGTCTTCCTCCCCTATCAGCACTAGTTCCTCCAATCCCTCTTCTTCCTAGGAGGCCATTGGAATCCAACTCCACTGCCACTCGATACCCAGACTTTACAATAAAGAGCCCATTTTTGGTGAAATGCCACATCAAATGATCTGGGCATCCAAATCGACTAAGTGCCATAGCCCAAATGGAGTCAGCCTCCTCTTTATGAAATAAACGACATACCGTATGCACATCCCATTGGCGCAAAATAGGATCAATAAGGTCCGATACCCTTTTCGGCAGCAGGGGTGATGGTGTCCTTACCTTAAAGTGGTAGGGCATCGGCAACCACGGATCTCGTTGTACATTGACTGACTGTCCATCCCCAATACGCCATCTGAGCCCCGCCATCAAAGCCTGCCGCCCTTTTAACATGCTTCGCCATCCCCATGACGGCCCCCGTCCAAGCTGTGCCTCCAGAAAAGAGCCATTAGGAAAATATTTCGCTTGTAACACCTGATGAAGCAGCGAATTCAGCTGCGATAATAAGTGCCAGCCAATCTTGGCAAGCATGGCACGATTAAAACAAAACAAGTCCTTAAAATCCAGCCCCCCACATTCCTTCCTCTGTGTCAACTTCTTCCACTTTGCCCAGTGTAACCCCTTTCTAGTACCTTGACTACCCCACCAAAAGGAAGCAAGAGCACGAAGGATATCTTCACACACACCCTGCGAAAGTAGGAAGCAAGACATCATATACGTAGGTAGCGCAAGTGCCACTGCTTTCAGCAACACCTCCTTTCCAGCCATTGTCAGAAAGTTCTCTGCCCACCCATGCACACATGTCGCCACCTTCTCCCTGATCTCTTCAAACACCTCCTTCTTGGAGTGGCCAAACTCAGATTTGAGTCCCAAGTATTTCCCAAAACCCCGCCCCTGGGGGATGTTTAAATGTCTTGCCAAACAATCACGAGCTCCTTGCGAACAATTTGAGCTAAAAAAGAGAGAACTTTTGTCAAAGTTAACTTGCTGCCCGGAGCCATTTTCATACAGCTCAAGGACGTGCTTAACCATGTCCACTTCTCCTTCAGTGGCTTTACAAAATAATATCGAATCATCTGCAAATGAAAGATGGGAGAGGGGTGCTTCTCCAGGAAGTGCTTCTATGACCCAGAAACACTTCTAAACTTTTTTGTCAAACGCTGTCAGAAGCGCTTTTAGTTATCAGAAAGAGCTTTTGACCCTTCTAGAAGCACTCCCAAACAAGCCCTTAATGGAGGAAGGGAGGGTTGGACACTTGAGGAAGAGGTTCATAACAAACGATAGGCTACAAAACTAGGGAGGCTAGGGTTAATTTTAATTTTAATTAATTTTATTGTTTTGGTTTTTCAGAATTATTGCTATAAGAAATAAATCTATATGTCAATATTCATTAGTTGACATGATATGACCACGTCAGCAATCACATAAAATGATTGGCTAATGCGGTCAATTGTCAAATATATATCAAATAAAAATATATTATTTTTAAAATCATTAGAAATCGAAATTCTAAAATCATAAAATAACATTTTAAAAGGAGTTTTATCACAACACGTTGATGAAATTATTAAGTTCGGTCCATTTTTTTTTTCTTTTGTGTCATTAATGGTTCTCAAGGTTAACACCCATGTTCACAAATGGTTCATGTCTTGAGGTTCCGTCAAGAATTCACTTAAGTTTGACAGCAGAGGATGATGTTGCAGGGCTCTTCTTCCTCATATGGCCTTCCATATTGCCGCAGAGAGAGAGAGAGAGAGAAGGGGGGAGGGGGGGTGGTG